AGGGTTTAGCACACACAAAAAATAAATATTTGAGGCAGAAAGAAAGAATAATGAAGCGAGAAGGGCAGGAGGAGGAAGTAAGAAGTGTAAAGAGAAGAAAAAGGAGGATTATATTCTGCCAGAAAACAAAGGGATGGTTGTATGAGAAAAGCATTGGGGAAATGAGGGTTCAGCTCGGCACAAACTTTCTGTCTGACGCTGGACAACTCAATTTCTCTGTGTCTCGGTTTGCAAAGGCTAAGACAGGAATAATAAAGTCTCCTTTGTTCTGCCTTTCTCTGCTCACATCAGACATCCCTTCTGTTTGTGTGTTGTAGAAAGCCAAGATGCTACCGCTCTGCAAACAAAAATAAAATCCACTGAGACTTTGAGGGGGAAAAAAAAGAGGTAGGAAGGCAAATAAATGATAAACCTAGGACATAACTGCTCCAAAACCCGGAGGGTGGGGGGAGAAATACAGGAGAGGCCTTTACTGAGGGAAGAAGAAAGAAACAATATGGACCAGATTAATCCTACTGTTGCCTCCTGGACTCTAGCAGAGTTCCTCAAGGGATGAGTTTAGCCCAAGGAGTTCAGTTTTGTTTGGTTAAAGAAACTTCATGCCAAAGTTTTTAAATAGTCAAATCTGTTCTGAGAACTATGAGAATGTGGGCTGCCTTTCCTGAAACATTGCATGGGACTTGGGATGAACAACTCCTGCTGAAGGCATCAGGAGCCAAGTGATTAAGCCCCATGCAGTGTTCTGACAGGAAGCCTTCTGCTTGCCTACTCATACTTTTTTTTAAGTATAGAAAGTATTTCCATATTTCCAGCAGCTGATCTTTATTTGAAGCCAAGAGCTGCATTTTTCAGGTTAGAACTGAAGCTTTTCTAGGAAAAGCCTCTCTGGAGCAGACCATTGGTCCATCTAGCTCAAGACGGTGTCTCCAACACTCTGCCCTGCACTCTGCTTAGAGGAAGAAATCCTAAAGCCTGCAGGGCTCTCTCAAGGGATAATTTATATTTCGCTCCAAGAGTTAGAGTTTGGCTTTCACTCCAAGGTCTGTAGGCTTATATTCTTTCCAAAACTCTTGCTTGTTTTGTTAATCTTTACAGTTCCCTGGAGATGTTTGTTGTTTGTGGATCACAAATCCGTTTGGGAAGCCCCTTGAGCTGCTGAACTCCGTGTCCTGTGGCAGCAAGTTCCCCAGGCCAGCTGGGGAATTTGTGCAGAAAAGAGAAATTTTCTTTTCTCAATTTCAGGTTTGCTGCATTAATGTGGAAGCATGCCTTAAGCTTCCCGTCTCACCCAGCTGGCTTCTTGTTACAGCATCTCACCTACAACCGTGAGCTGCTCTGCCACTCAGGGAATCCCTGCTAGGAGATGGGCTGTGCATGTGTAATGCTGCTCTGCCCTGAAACATGACTCAGCCATGCTGAGGATCCACTTTTTTAATTTTTCCAAGTTTACAAGAATACATTATTCTGCCAGCTGCTCCTGCAGGCATGGTGTGTTTTCTTCTGGTGTCGCTGGAGTAATAAAAGTTTGTGGATCATCATAGTGTCCCCACTATGTGAATAGCACACTAAGCCAGCATGTGGTGAAGGTGTGAGGGGCTGCAGGAAGACTGAGACATGGCACTGTGATCTCTGTGGCTCTTTTTGGTAAGGAGGCGATTGCAATGCTCAAGCTTCTTTGCAGACCATGGTGAGACTTGCAGGTAGAAGGGCAAGAAGGGCACTGTTGTGTAGTCCCATGCTTGTGATGATGGTGAACCAGAAAACCATGGACAATGGGAGCATGGCTCAGTGTTCAGCCTGCCCTTCCTTCATCTGGCTGTCCTCTACCGTTCTTCTGCCACAGAAGGGCTCAGGTCTCATAGGGGTAGGAGGGAGGTGCAGGGCAGGATACAAGTACAGCCTTTGTCATTGTCTAGTAATGAACTAGCTAGATGATTGTACACCCAGGGCTCTGTGGCAAAAATTAGATGGTGCTATGCAAGCATGGCTTCGGATCCAGCACGCAAACAAACAAAACAAATGTATTAGAAACAGCTGGGGAATAGGATGTAAATGAGCATTATTAGGGGTATGCTTATAATAACTTATGAACTGGGGAATGCATCATTGCTGCGCTGGGTCCTCCTGGAGACGGATTTGCTGTTGCTTTTGGAGCCCTTATTACAGCCATTGGTTTTCCCATTTATGCATCCCTTCCCCCAGCCCTTGCTGGAAAACCTGACACTGTGCTCTGAGATGTAGCTGCTAACATGAGGATTTTGTCAGGAGCTGGAGTGACCTCTGAAAGCAGTGGCCATGGCCTAATTTGTGGGTCATGAGCTGCCACACATACATCACCCAGAGCAAGGGCATTGCTTTACGCACTGATCTACCTTCAAGAGTTCCCTCCCTCATCCTGAGGAAAGTTTTGCAGCTCTTGGGAGTTTTTGTGAATTCCCTGGATGCAGGATGGCCTCACAGTTTTCTCATTTGTTCATTATTTTGGAGTGTGACTGACCTGTCCTGGGAGATACTGAGAAAGGTGAAAATACTTGCTGGCAGCACTGTCCCCATTCATGTCTTTTCTTGCCTCTCCTGTGAACAGTCAGGACATCAGGGCTGTTAGCAGCGAGCCCCTTGCCTGCAGCGTGACCTGCTGCAGCTCAGGAGGTGACCATCTTTAAAAGTCATACATTTTTCTCCTGGTCTCCATGTGTATTGCCTCTATGAGATGCAGTCCTTCCTTGTGGGAGAGTGTTTGAAATTGTCCTTCAGCCCTCAGTATAGTGGGCTCTAAGAAGTCCTTATTGTGTGTTTTACATGTCTGAATACCACACCCACTGACATTTTTTTGCTAATGTTCACTAAGACTTCAGTTGTATAGTATCTACTGCACATTTAAGTGCCTAAGAACTGACTTTGCTGTTTCCCTGACAAATTTAACAAATATTGGCCAAAACTCAACTTGCACTGACACTGCTGATCTTGCAGCTGGAGAAATTTGGACCAGTACTCTGCTTCTGTGTCTTCAAGCCATTGTGGTATGTGTAGCATGTTGACTGTTCTCATTTGCTTCACGGTTGGATGAGATGCTTATATGCAAAGCTGCTTAAATTCCAAACATTGCCTGTGGCTGAACGGTTCCTACCTTTGATGTGAGAACCACAGCCTGGGATCACAGAGGTCATTCTTGTTAAGAGGATAAGTTAATAGCAAAGTCTCATGTGTTAAACACAGAGTATACAAAGTCCTGCTTGCTTGAACACAGAAAGAGTTCAGCAACCAGGACTAGTTTCCTGGGTCTCAAAACACTTTACAGACACAAAGGACTCTTTAGGGATCTCTCAGGACCATGTTCCAATCCCTGTCCAAATTGCAGTTACATTGGTCTTGACCTTGCACTGAATTACATCACTCCTTTGTGTGCTGATTTTCATGAGCACAGGCTCGGCTGATGAGCTTGCTCATCTTCTGGAGCTGAGTGTCACGGACGTGGTACCTGAAAGCATGTGGGGACATAGGTAGTTGTAGCCACTGGTCGCCAGTGAGGGACTTATTTGCATGTACAGGACAGTCTTGTTACACAAGCTGACTGTGAATGGCAAATGCTACCTCATTTGCCATTACATAACTCAACCATAATAATAATACTTATAGGTATGCAAGTTCAGCTGCAGGTGAAAATGGTGGTTATGGTCTTCATCCTGTCTGTTCCATATGTCTGCATGGATCGAACCACTGTACCTTTGCGGGCTGCATGATGCAAGAAATAGATGACAATATATAGAGGGGCTTTTATCCCCATTCCCACTTTCAGACCCAGATGGTCAGGTGTCATCTGCTGTGTTCAACAAGGAAGGTGTGATGCCTGAAGCAATGTTGCCCTGTTTCTAGCCAGTCAAGAAAGCTGCTTAGCGAGAAGATTCTCTTGCCCAGGTGCCATCACAGAAGAATGGTGGCTGCTGCCTGGCTGTGAATGTCAGAAAGTAAACATATAAGGTTTCAAATGTGTTGTACTCTTTGATGAGCTGGAATAGACTTAAGGCCATATTGAAGATTATTTGTCGTCATGGATATTCACTACCCAGTGATGGATGAGTTATTTTTCAGAGCAACTGCAAAGATGTCCTTGAAACCCACCTTTTGTTTTGTAATAGCACTGATAGAACAGCAATGTCTGGCTTGCTGTGGGTTGATCCATTACTGCTGTTTTTTTGCAAAGCAGAAAGATGCTGCTGGTGGCTGAAACCATCTGCAACTCTTTTCCTAAGGTTTCCAGGAGACTAAAAGTCTGGGATTTCTTTGGTGAGCTTTCAGGAGACATGAAATAATTTGGCACTGCTGGGAAGGCAAATAGCCTATGCAGGTGTATGTAACATGTAATCAAACAGCATGAATTACATGAGGATGCACTGTGGCTTCAAATCACTCCTTACCCAGGGAGAACTCGGGCTGGCTCGTAAAGTAGTGTGTCCTCCCTCTGAGTGCAGTCCACACCTTGAGCTGTTCCACCTCCAGCTGCGCTGTGTAGAGCAAAAAACAGGGAAGCAGAAAAGCCTTTTTTAAGTCAGCCCCTGTGCAAATCTGTCTCAAGAGCTGACACTCAATGAATGTGTATGTGCTGTAATGTTCCCTGCAATTTTGCCTGGACTGTGTTCAAAACAGTGAAGGGAGAAGGTGCCTGGCTCACTGTGCAAACTGGGCATCTCCCAGGCTTGATAGTATTGTCGTGAAAAAGGCAATGGGGATAAATCTGATTACTTGGTGGGAAATTTGATAACCTTTCAGAACTTCTGAAGGATAAAGTGATGAGCTGATTCTCTGATTTCCTTTTTACAAACATATCTCTGTTGATGCTAATGCTGTTTGTGTATCAGTCATTAAGGTCTGTTTCTTGGTGTTTTTATGTAATTTATAGACTTTCTCCAGTCCGATTTTGAGAAACATGGAGTGTCTGTGAAGTTGGGAGCAAGGACATGCTCTCTTCTAATGTGGCTTTCCTGTTTTCCTCTGTTTTGCAGGTTCTTTTCGAAATGATGGTTTAAAAGCTGCTGATGTCCTTCCTATACTGAAGGAGAAAGTGGCCTTTGTGTCAGGTGAGCACATCTTTACTGGATCTCTCCAGCCCAGCATGAACACTTGCCTGATGCATCCTGGTCCTTATGGCGCTGCAGAGTCATGAGGGACTAGTTTCATGTTTGGACTTGGTAGTACTTAAATTAGCTCTTCTGCTAAGGAAAGGGCTATATGTGGAACAGGGCTATCCAGTAATAGAGTGTTGAAAATTGGCCCATGTTAATTTTCTTCATAACAGGTAAATGGGCAGCACATGTGGGATGAACTGCAGCTCCTCAGCTTCAGCCCAGACCTGTGCTGTCTCAGTATTCAGGACTGTTCAGGGATCCTGCTTGGGGTTCAAGGTCGGTGAATAGCATCAATTCCTGTTTGTAGGAAGCACTCAGACGTGTAAATCACTGGTGTTTCATTTGCAATCCCAACCAACTTGCAGTTAAAAGTACCATTGATGCTGCATTTACATAATAACTCAGATGCTCACAGGCCTCCTGCCATCCTGTACAAAGATTTACAGCATTCGTGCAGGAGACAAATCATGAGGACCTGGGGGTGGATGAGGACTATACAATATGGAAAAGGCTTTGAGAATGGCTTGGATTATATTGTTTCTGGTGTGAAATACAACTTGTCAGGGAGAGGGGGAAGAGAAAGCCTGCAGCGATCATAATCTTGCATGAAGTCACTTAAATTGGCAGCATAAGCCTGGGGTATTTCCCATGCCAGCATTTCTGATGATTGCAAACCATTTGGGCTGCTTTTGGTGATCTTCCCTGTTGCAATGAGAAAACCTGTGTCAAAAATAGCCGGCCCCTTGTTTTCAGTCTGCTTTTTGTTTCCTTCGTCTCCACAGTAATGTTGACTGCAGAGGGGACAAGAGTAGCAGTGAGGCTGTTTGTAGGTGCTTGGACTCTTCCTCCCTTGCTCTTCTCCTGGGTGCTGAGGTAGGGCCCGTGAGGATGGGGCTCGTCACCCTGACAAGCCATGGAAATGCCTGGCCAGGCAGGAAAAACTTTCTCCTTGGCTAATGGTTGGTGGGAGATGACTTTCCATGTAGCAACAGTTAAATGGTCCAGGGATCACGAGTCCAGCAGTGATTTGGGCAAATGATTTGTGGCTCTATAAACCCTAAACTTTCTGACCAATGACATGAAAATCCAGGAATTTGAGGGAAGTTTGTGAGGCACCATGTGAAAACCCAAGACTATCCCAACAGTATTCGCATGCAGGACTACTTTACCTCGCACCGGTGTATCATTCTGAATGTCCTGAAATATTTTACATGGTTGTTGTCTTTCACTACTCCAAAGAGGGGAACATGGTCATAAAAACACAGGGTACCTGCAGACTTTCTTGCGACACAAAGCTGAACCGGGCACTCTGGGGAAGTGAAAGGGAGGAATTTATGCGGAGACTGTACTGGAATTTAGTTCTTGGCTCCTGCTGCTGCTTCGCATGGAAATGACTGCAGGATCGTTTGGTAATTCATGGAATATTTAATAATGACAACCTGTCTGGATCGTTTATATAGCCCCTTCCACTGACGGTGCCTGCGTTCAGCTCTGAGCCAGAGGGTCTCACACCAAACCACCAGCTCATTAGTCCGGGGCCGAGCTTGCCTTGTGGGGGGACGTCAAACAAGCAGCGCCAACACGATCCCCCGGGGTTTCTCACTGCGATCCGCTGCAGGCGAGGGACAGCTCGCTCCTCACCAGCCTCCAGGCTTGTATCTGCTCAAATTGTGCCTGTTCCTGACACAGCTAGCTCGATAGCAGTCCTAGGATTTACACTTCCTCTCCATGGTCTCGAAATGCAACGACTACAGGCAACAGTTGTCAGGGCCCTTTGCAGATAGAATGCTCTTTGCTGCTGGTGTCTTACTGCAACAGCCCCAGCATCACCCTCCAGCCCAGAGTTTAAGTACTGCCCGGTCTCCCCCTGTGTTGCTGTAATAAAGCAGATTAAGAAAAGAATTTGAGCACTTCAACTGATGGCTAGGTTCTTTTTAATTAAAATGGAATAACTCCTAGAGTATGCTTTGAGCACAGAAGAGAAAGTGTTTGCCAAAACAGAAAAATCAAATAGCTGGACTTTGCAAGATAAAAAAGAATAATTGTTCTGTAGTTAGCAGAGACTCTGGGAGCACATTGTGTTTGTAATCAGGCTTCCTTGAGGAAAAGGAGATTTTTATTGAGTCTTCTTCAGAGTTTTATACTACAGATAATTTTAATGATAACAGTACAGTAAAGCTGTCAAGGGAGTTCTCCTTACACCAGCAGAATTTATCAGCACGCACAAAAAAATCTCAGCTGAACATCTCAGTTACATCGTTTATTTCTTTTCTCATCTGCTGTGGCTCACCAGCTTGTTTTTTAGTCCACGATTCGACAGGAAAGCTGCAGAGAACAAACAAGCTCCTCAGGCAGGCGCTGAACCACACTTTGTGTTTCAGTGCTGTGGATGCTCCACACCTGGACAGAACAGGCGGGGAAGCGGCACCGGCTGCCGCCTGCTCCAGAGCAGGCACAACGGGACCTGCCTGCACAGCCGTGTAATCTCAGAGGAGCACTCAAGCTTTCAGAAGTGCATTTAATTTCAGAGTTGAAATACAGCTGTAACTAGCTGGGCATGGATTCATCCAGCCTAAATGCCGTCTGGGGCTGTGCGCCTGGCGCTTCCCTCAGCGAGCAGCCGGCACACGGCTCTGCATCTGCATCCCTGTGCTGCGGGAGAGTTGAGGGGCGGATAAAGTTGGGATTTTTTCCTGGAACTGGTTCTTGATTTCTTCCAGTGATCTCATGTATGGGCTAGGCTGAACCTGAGCAAAGTTCATGTGTATCTGTGTCTAAACAGCACCTGAAAATCCCATCCCAGCACTCATAAGCAGAGAGGTGGCCTGAGCAGTCGGGGGCACGGTGCATCCCGGCCATCACCGTCTGATCGCTTCCATCGCTGGCCCTGTGGAAGCAGATTAAGCAGGGGGTTGGGGGGGGAGGCTTCGGCCACCTGCTTGTTGCCTAAACTCTAATAAAATCTTGGCTTTGCCTGGGTGGTTCACTGTGTTGCTTCCAGCAATGGGATGGCTTTGGGAATGATCAGGGAGCGAGCTACAGGCCAGAGACGGACTTTTCTATTCTGAGAAGGAGATGAGCACAGAGGAGAGGAAATAAAACAGATTGTAGATTATTTTAGGTGGGGTTTTTTCAGTGAAAAGTGGTGAAATATTCTGGAAGCTGGGCTTATAGTCTTTCCTAGGAAACACAGATGCTGTTTCAGAAGAGTGGTTTAACTTGGGATGTTGTTCAGCTGCTTGATTATTTTTATAGGAGATTTTCTGTTGATAAGTGCAATATGGGACGAAGCATACGAGGGTCTCAGGAGAGGGAGGGGAGTGTGTTACCATGTTCACTTCCCATGCATGGAGCTTTTCGTACACTTAGGCTATGAAAAGCTTGTTATCTGATTAATGCCATGGGTCTTCCTGAAAACATTTGCCCTTTCCCCACATCCCACCCAGAATTGTTTCTCAGGATCCTTCCCAGCACTTCCGTTCCCCCGAGGGCTCAGAAGAGTGGCAGTGTGTTGGTTCCTGCCTGTCACCCAGGTACCGTCTGCTCTTCTGCCGGGGCAGGAGTACAAAGGAGGAGGCTGGCCAGGTTTCTGAGAGGGTGGTTGAGCATGGAGGAATCAACAGCGAAAGGCAGAAGGGTATAATAAACTGGTGAGCTGCCGCAGCTATGACATGCAGAGCTCCCAGTGCGTGTTCAGCAAAGCAGGAGAGTTTTCTGTGGACTTTGGGCAACAAAAGGCATGGAGCAGGGAGAAGCAGATATGGTAGCAGTTTGGCCATCTCCATCCCTCAAAACCCCACTGTCCCCAATGCCACATGTGTCAGGAGCAGCCTTATGAGCTGGGTCACAGCGACGTCTGAGCTTGGCTGAGAGCCTGAAGGAAAAACAAAGAGAGATTTCCCAAAAGATCTTTCAGAGGAGGGATTTCAGTGTAAATAGATCAGATGAAAGGACAACTTTGCAATTAGGTTTCACTAAATCTAGGCCAGCAAGATGAATCAAAGAGGAAGACTCAGAGGGGAAGATGCTTGTCTGAAGACACCACAGGTCATTTAGTGCCAGAGGTACATGGGACCACATGTGAAGGGGCATGTTTTTGCTTTTTCTGCAATGGATGCACTTCACTCTTCAGAGAAAGGGTTGAAATGAGACCACTCTGGGCACTAGATGAGTTCAGATTCAGGTTTCAGGGGGTCTCAAATGCTGATTTGTGGACACTGGAATTTGTATTGGGTTGGGAATAGAATTAACCAAAATATTTAAATTTTGAATGATGTAAACATTTTGTGTTTTCACAAGAAGTTTTTATTTAAATTAAAAGTTTCCATTCTCCTCTTCCTCTGGAATGGAAATTTCAAATGAAACATCAACAGTTCTTCTCTATTTTGTTACAGAAAAATGTTTTCCATTTTGTACCATTCCCTGACGTAGTTTGGGTTTGGGATCTCTTCTCTCCCAACACTGTTGGAATATCATTGATCCATAGATCAATGGAAATTCCAAAAAGAAGAAATATGTTATGAGAAAAACAGCATTGCTTGACTATTGAATTTTCTTAGTGGTTTTGGACCATCATGCTTTCATCTAGAATTTGCTGCTGCATTGATGTGGATTTTTCTTTGAAGAAGAAAATGAGGACATTTAAACTGTAAAGTTTCCAGGTCTTTTGATAAGGTCTGAGCCTGCTGGGGTTTTTTTGTTGTTTGTTTTTTTCTTTTGTTTTTCAAGAGTGTTAGGTCATTTTTGAGGATAGAGAAGAGCCTTTATCTATAGGGGCTGTTTAGATATCCTCATCGGGACTCTAAAGTTAAAGCAGAAATCAAAATGTTTCCTCAGATTTCTGATTTTGTCTACAGGTTGTAAATGTAATGTGCAGAATTAGTTGCCGTATTTCTTTCCATACATTTTAACTGTAGCCATGGACTAAATTAAACAATTTCTGTGAAGAATGT